TACATGTTGTATACTGTAATGTTTGCGTTCCCGTGCTCCCTGTGGAGACCACCACCCCTCCTCCGCCGGCTGCAGAGCCTACTCCTACGGCAACCTGGGCTCCTGCTCCAACCGGTCCTCCAGCTGTAGTGCTATCCACAATCGAGCTTGTGGTCTTCAAATTCGTAGCCGTCGGCGTTGTGGACGGCAAATAGGCAATGGTCTGTGCTCCTCCATGCTGTGGAGTAAGGATGCGATGGCATGGAATGGGCATGGAACCGATGCCGCTGATGGTGGCGTTATGAGCACTGGGCACAACGGTACCAATGGTAACGCCCGTCGTATTGACGCCCACAGTAGCAGTGCCACCGCCGGATGTTGGACCTCCTCCAGCTACGCCGACGACACCAACACCCACACCACCGGATGTCGGAGGACCGGGTCGTGTGCCAAATTGCACCTCGTCTACGCGGGTGCGTTTCATCATCTTTTTTGTTGCTCTGTTCTCGGCGGAGCGTATAATCCTGTGCTGCTGCTGCTTTCTGAGCACTTTTTTCCTCGCTGGATCCCTGCCCAAGTGCAAGGACTCTGGCTACTCTAGGTGAGTGGCCGCCCTCTATGAGCGTATGTAATATGCAACAAACGGTCGGGGTCGCAACTCTTGGTCTTGGACTGCTCGTGGATGCGACATATGTTGTCTATGCATTTGGTCGCCCCGCAAGCGGCAAATGCGCTCGAATTTTAGGGTAGAGAAATTGGACTGACTGCTGGTTATCTGCTGCTGGTGCTGCTGCGCCGGTGATTCGCCTCTGCCACGTAGCTTTTGGAGTTCTTTCTGAATATCACTGCAAGTAAGAAAAGGGAAACGGTCATAAAACAGTGGCGGCAATAAATGTATGAAAAAACCCCAAAAAAATAGGTTAAAGACCATATAAAATACTAGTATTTGTTCCCTCCGACAGGTTTTGGTAATTTTGCATTACATTGAAAATAGGAAAGGCATTTTTGTTTGGACATTTATTCTTCTAAATATACTTTTTTATATACCAGATCCCGAATTTTGCTTCTTTTCCCAAAACAGGTTCGCTAATATAGCACAGCTGATTGATCAATTCGGTCTATATCGTCACAGGTTTGAAAAGATTGCACATTCCAACAAGAGGGAAAAAAGGTGAAATAAAGAGCCACGGGGAAATTCTTCTTTTAGTCGTATCACAAAAACTAAAGAGTATATGTCTCTGTATTGGGGGGTTCTGGATTCGGGGGAGGAGAGTGAGATGGGGGACAATAGGAATGAAATGAAACGGTGGAGCGGTGAGCAATAACAAGAACATCGACCAGAGAATGGTACATTTAGACGGGACCGAGATCGTGGAGTGGAAGTTATATCTTGGAGGAGAGTGCAAGGCTAAAAGAGGAGCGCATAGTTCACTGTAGTGTGTGTACGTGCAACCGGAATTGGGCGCGCGCTTTGTTATTGCTTTCAGTGGTACAGTAAAAACTTCCTAAGCGAGCTTTGTGTGTACACCTTCAAGTGTGTGTATGTGTATAAATTTCAGTATCTGTGGATGTGGAAGGTGCCAAATGCCCCATGCACGACATCGGCTTGCATAGAATTCAGACGCACACATAGAACATATTTATATATCGATACCGCCAAGGGGGCGGGCGGGTTGTTGTGTCAGTACTGCTGGTACATATTCTGTATCTACAACTTACAAGAATAAGAAGAGTCAGAGGTAGCAGCAGCAGCAAACGCAACAATGCAAAGGTGGTGGTGCTAATACGGTGGTGGTGGTGCAGCCACAGAGAGAATCGGAGAGAGCCGCATTTGTTGTTGAGGCGCAGTATATGGCTGATTTTTTTTTCAAAAACGTATTTCACCCGTTTGGGGCCAAACACACACACATACACGGACACAGCAAGCATTTGGCGGGCATTCGGGAGAGAGAGTGAGTGACAGAAATAGAGAGCACAACGCTGCGCAGACCAAAGAGAGCAAATATTAGGTGAATGGAAACCGCCTAGAGGATCATCCCGCTCCAACTAATTGAAACACCCTATCGAACCAACAGCTGCCCCCCTTTAGCATTTGTAAACAAATATTGGAGCTCAGTACAGCCGCACAAAAGCTTCAGCCCTCTTGCTCTCTCCTGTCTCTGCCACCACCAACTATCCTTTAATAAAAGAAGGTAAAACAAGTTCGCTCTTTTCAGCTCTCCCAACAGCCTTTCTTGTTATTGTATTTTTTGGATCCGCCATTAGTGCATACCAAACACATTTGCCCGATTGCTTGTGTATGTGCGTGTTTGACGAGAGAGGCTCCAAATTGGGGCGTTGTGTGCGTGTGTGTGCTTTCGGGAGACATGTGGGCAAATTTTCCCTCCATTTTTTTTTTTTTTTTGGTTTAGCCCGCTCTATTACGTGCACACGTATAATGTTATCTTATCTGTTTTGTTATGTGTATAAACAGCACAGCAGAATACGCAGCACAAAGGCAGCCAGCGGAAAATATGCAAAAAATTGTAGACTACTAGCACTCGGTTTTTGAACAACTGCAATACGAATCGGAATCATCGCGATTTAATATTTAGTTTTTTGTATTTCTTTCTCACTCTAAAACACTAACACAACCGCAGTGTGGCGCTGCGCTATTAATAAATTTTGCAAATAAAACATATGGATGTGTAGAGAAATATGTACAATATATTCACATACATATATACTATTTCAGCATGAAGAAGCACTTCAAACGTTTTGTGTAAATTCAAAACCGAATGAAAAAAAAACAGGCGGAGCAAGAACAACAAATGACGGATGGGATGGGGAGCAAGAAGTAGAGGAGCAGAATGAAGATGTGAACATAAAGAGGGCCACAAAATGATGCTCTCATTGGGGAGCCATTTAAATGCACACTCACACTACACTTGGCTGCTCTCGCCAGTACATGCGAATGGCGCATCAAAGCAAAAGTCGAGATAAGCGCACGAACTGAGCAAAGAACGAATCAACGAACGAAAATAAAACGACACTACGTTGAAAAAATACAGTCAGTTCACAAGCGAACCAAAAGCAATGGTTCAAAGCGTATGTATGTGTGTGGCTCTCCTCTCCACCCTCGTTCAAGTGTGTGTGACGAGAGCAGAAACAGCAGAGGCAGCAGCAGCAACACAAACAACAACCACGTCTCCGTCGACGACTTTTTGTCTGTGCGCCTTCTATATGTATTCGCTATGCCATTGTTGCGTGTGTGTGTGTGTGAGTTTGTGCGTGCGTGTGTATATAAACCAATTGAAATTGACCTAACCTAAAAATGTTGTATTTTTCACAAGTTTTCAGTGGCACGAACGAGAATATTGTTTGAATCCGAATCCGCGCTCCAAGTGCACTTGAAGGATAATGCTACTCTGCACTTTCCATGCCCCCCCAACCGCCCACCGCATATATTACACTTACATCAGCAATAAGCAATAAGCAGTTAGCTTCGTCGGTTGATATTCGGCTGTGTGTGTATGTATATTCGAAATGTATGTATATATGTACTGGGCGCGTATGTATATTTACTACAAAACTGCCGTTGGTTTTGTGGTGTTATTCGAAACTTTCACGTTTTACGCAGTATTTTGCACTTGCAACTACTATTTCCGCACTCACTTGTACACCGAAATCTTAATTTTCACCGTTTTCTTTTTTTTTTAGTAGCTGGAGCTCCGTTCCCAAGTTGAGTTTAAGTTTTGCGCTTGTTTCGATCCCTTTGCACTTGGCTCACTTCTTTAACTAGATCACACTGGTCGAATTTAAGACATTTTCTCCTCGGTAGGTTGCTACTGCTATTCTATTCACAAATTTTTGGCGAGAAAACGTTTTCGTACATCTTAACGCCGCCGCAAACATTTTCGATTAAAACGGCGAAACGCGACGGCCAGTCAGTCGGAGTCAGCAGAGAGAGCGAGCAAGAGTGTAAAGCGAAGAGCGGGACCTTGTGCGCTCGCGGCAGAAGCAGAGAGCGGGAGAGCGCGCGCGCGCAGTGTTGCTTTGGAATTCATATTCTACTGCCACTGCAGCTAAAACAGGGTGGCAACTCAGCAGCGCAACAACTAAAATCCTCCGTCGCGCGCATTGAAAACACTGCAGCAGCTGGCAGCTAAAAAATAATAGTTTATATACCATTACCTACTGGTAAATAATCACAATCAGCAGGTATTTTTATTAACTGTGAGCAGTACCGCATGCAAATGGTCGCAAAATGGCGCTTAGAATTTGGATAAGAAACGAAATACCTGAAGCTTACGTAAGTGCGAGGACTAACAACAACGATGGGGTGAGAGAAAAAAAGTTGTTTGAGAAACAGGGTGTACCGTTGTCACCCAGCCATGTGGTTGCAGCGATGATCAGAGTATCTGGGTAAGACACCCTGTTCGCGCCGAAGAGAGCGACATTGAGAGCAGCGCACCCACACAAGCGCAACGAGTATACAGCGGATTGCGACGTCGGCAGAGCGTTTTAGCTGACTATTGCAGTACATAATGAAATTGACGAAACCGAAAATCAGAAACCAAACGGACCACTAGCGAGCTACAACTCTGCCACGGCTACATTTTACACACTCATGTACTCCTCCACCACCTCGCTCGCCCGCACACTCACACACACACGCGTGCGTGCGGAGAGAGGAAGTAAAAGATATGAAGACAAAAAAAAAAAGCAAGTGCATCTCACCATGACAATGGCGGAACCATAAAAACACATGTTCGCATCTTGAATCGAAGCGAATTCGGCGGCCAGCTCCTTCAAAAAAAATAAAATAATACAGGCAAAAAATCTGTATACGCGCAAAAGTTGAGCTGCTAAAACATGGAAACCTTGCAGTTATCGATTCGTCTCGCTCATTGCGCAATGAAAAAAAATGCAGCGGGGGCGGCGGATACGAGAGAGCCTCTCTCTTTCTGAGGCACCTGCAGCGATAGGAAATGCAAATCCGCCTTCCACTTTCCAGCTCGAAAGTTCAAAGTTCATATGCAACTAACTACTGGGTGCAGCGCATGTCCGAGGTGCACCGAAGACCCCGGACCAAAAAAAATGGCACAAACCAAACTCTCCGACTTCCAGGCGCCGCAGGAAGGTTTGTTTGCCCTTCCATTGGGTATTATTGATGTTTTTTCTGTTGATAATAAAGCCAGGTGGTCTAGCATGTTCTAATTATCCCTGTGCTAATTTCAGATCGACAGCATGGAATGCGGCACTAGGAAATATTCACTGAATACAAAGCTGATCAAGTGATATCTGCAATGTGGTAAAGTGCTTTCTGTCACTCGGATCCATTTTTATATAAACCAATTAGTTTTATTTTCGTACGTGTTCTGCAAATTATCAGATATTTTTTATTCTCTTTTGAATCACCTGATGTTTATTGTGAAAATTAACTTTTGTAATTTATTGTTCGTCTGTCCTATAAATTGTAGTTTGACACAATATAAAATGGTATAACTATTTTTGATAGTTTTACTGTAAAATATATTCCCTTTACATATTGAGACAAAATGTAAATATGAAACTAAAACTGTCTTTTTATCTTTAAAATGTATTCTAATCAAAACTGTATAAATCCGTTTGTGTATTAGAGAACCTTATTCTTTTGTCAAGGATAATACAAGTGCGCCGTTGAGGCAAAATGTTTTTTAAAACATTGATGTGTATAAAAATGAAAAGTAATTAAAAATGAGTTTTTAATTTAAGCTTATGATTATATATTTGGGAATAGGTACATTGCAAAGATTTACTGTAGTGATTTAATGTAATACTTTAACTTTTAAAATCGCTATTTACTACAACCTTATACCTTTCAAAATGGCTAAATATGATATGCACACATTCACTTCGACTCTGAACTAGTGTTATTAATATATTAATATAATATAAAGCCATGGACGAGTTACAACTAAATATGTGTGAAAGTGTTCAACGTCTAATACACTTCAACTTTGTTCAGACCATCAAGTTCAAGACTTGTTCGTTGGCCTTTGGCAAAAATACAATTGCGAATTGCAAACAATTGGTTGGCGACGCGGCAAGTGATTTTTTTCTCGGGAGAAAGATCGAGAGAAGTGTGGAGAGACTGCCAAAACTGGGGAGTTTGAGTTCAGAAGTAACTTGTTTTTCAAGTTTTCAAACAGCCAAAACCAAACCAGACTTAAAAACCCATTCGAAACTTGAGGCGCTTCACAAAGAAAATTTGAGGAAAACGAGGAAAGCACTGAGAATTTGCGTGTGTGTGTGTGTGTGTGTGGATTACAATTAGACCTCACAGAAGCACTGAGCCCGATTTCAACGAATTATTTAATTAGAATCAACGTAAACCCGCAAATTGAAGGCTGAAACTTCTGTCTCGCTCACCTTGTGCACAGTCACACATACGCAAACAGCAAAAGGGTACACAGAGCTGCCAACTGATGTTTAAAGCGTTAGTTTAATATTTGTTAAAATGAATTTTTTGTATTACTTTTTACTGTATCTTTTTTACAAACCATTTCGTCATTTACATTGAAGTATGTGAGCATTAAAAAAATGAATTTTTGTATAAAAACAAAACAAGAACTTACAATGGTAAGAAAGGTTTTGTGTTCTAGCATAGGGTTTCAACATTCTAACAAGTTGGCAGTTCTGGAGCGAATAAACGCAACAATAACAAAAGGTGAGCGCGGCAAACGCGCTCTGCCTCTTTCACACAGCCACACACATAGCTGTTTTTATTGCCTTTGCAGTGTGCGTGACTGCGTCATTGTTGTTGCTGTTCTCAATATCTTTTTTCTTATTTTTATTTATTTCCTGAGGCTCTTCAGTCTTTTTCTTAAATTTATTTTATCAATCCAAAGATTTTTAAATATGTTCAGCCACACATGCACACGTGCCAACAGATGGCGGAACCTTGTTTTTTATGTACATATACAAAAATGCGATAAGACCGATTTCTATAAACATTCACATTTGCAAAACTTTAATCGAAGATTCAGCTTCAAAATTCAAACTTCTATCCCCAAAGGAGAATATTTTAAAGAGAAAAAACAACAAAAGCATTATTTTGAAATGAATAATCCCACTGGAAGTGGAAGTTGTGGCTGCCGCCTAGCGTAATCAGTTGGGGGAAATTGAGGTTAGGTACGAACGCATTCTGGGCACCCACTCACTCACACACACACATACACTCGACATGCATACAAGGGCGCGCACTTTTATGTTTCTATACATACCTGATTTTAATAACTGATGTTTTTGTTTCTAAGTCTTCTTTATTTCCTACTACTGCCAGCAAGCAGACTTAAAATTTTTTAATGTATTGCGGCTACAACTTTCAGCTGCTTGTGGAGCTAATAGGGGGAGGGGTTGGAGAGAGAGAAAGGAAGAGAGTAGCGCGTGAGTGGCTACTTCTTCTTACATTCGCAACAAACACATGCAAACACTCTGCACACAAGCACATGCACCCGAAATCGATTTAATACTGCCTTTGTTGCAATATCTCCAACTATATTCATTAATTTTTGTTTAAATTTAATGCACGTAAATTCACTCGTGCTTTAGATTACAATGAAACACACACACGTATACATATACATATGTATGCGTTATGATCAACCCCACGCTAGGAATTTACATTTTGTTTGACGATTTCTTCTAGATGATTTCAATTACTGCGCGCTGCGTCCGGTCTTTAACACTTATTTATTTAGGCTCTCTTGTTAAAATGAATTAGTCGCACAGCCGTGAAAAATGACCAGCAATTACAACGAAATCCCAACTCGGTTTGTGTGCGGCATCTATCGGGCAATCGATATCGATATGACGTGGGTGGTCTTTAGAGCTGGCATTTTATTTCGATTTCATTTCATTTTATTCGATTTCGCGTCATCGCAACATAGGTGACAGATACAAATGCGGTCAAAACAAAATAAGTTGACAAAGGTAAATGTTTAAAGCTTTGTAGTTTTGTAATTGAACATTTATGTATATTTACGTGTTTGATAGATTATATGGTTTTAATAGATAATAAAGCATAATAAATAAATAAAATAAATAATAACAGAGTATCTTGACTGTTGTTTTTTTTTTTCAGCTGCGATTTAATGTGTCAAACATATGATTTTCAAAACGCTTGTTAATGAAATAAATTAAAATAAATATCAAAATAAAATCCAAACAAAAATGAAACTTATCTCCTTAATTTCGTTGTTGAATAGCAGCTGCTATTGGCTTGCCTTCTATGTACTTTTAATAAACTCCAAACATTCTTTAGAGCAAGGACTGAAAACGGTAATTTTGTATGGTGCGTTGCCCAATCAAAAAAAGCAAATTGGATATCCTTTGTTTCATTTTGAGTTGCTTATAGTTTGGTTTATTGCATTATTGATTTGGTTTAAACAAGTTTCTAAAAACGACTTGGTTTGGAACTCTGCTGCCGCTAGTCAAGTTTTCAACGCAGTGTGTGTTTTAGGGAACCTACTGTGTGTGAGTGGTATTTCGGGCGCACAGCCACACTGCACTGCTCTGCCGCAGCTGAAGTCGCGTTCTCTCGTTTATCGCTGTCGTCTTCCACGCACATTCGTCGCCTTTTCTTCTCCGTTCGTCCGTCGACTACTTGTGCCATTTGTTTTGAATATTCCGAGCGAATTCGACGCGCCCGCAGAAGTCGCATTGCCAAAAAAAAATATATATATCGGGGCCGTAAAATATACATAATATCGTTAACAAGTGTGTGGGGGCCGATTTCGCAGCGATATTGTTTAGTTTTGTTTGAAACATAAACACAACACTCGGTTGTTTATCGTGCATTTAAAGTTTCCCGCAAACGGAATACTGTGCTTTTTCCAGTTGTGCCAATACACTAGCAAAGGGAAAAGTGCATCTCTACAAAGATATTGGTCCATCAAGTTAAATCAAAATAGCAATCCGCCGTTCAACACACCGCTGAATGTCCGAAAATAAAGGCATAATGCTGGCCAAATCAGTTCAAAAACACGCTGGACGTGCCAAGGAGAAGGTGAGTTCGACTCCAGATGCACTTTGCAACGCCCACGCCCTCGCCACACGGGAAGGTCATGCAACCCACCACCATTGCAACACACCCCCAATGCTTCCACTCCCTCGTTAACAAATCCCTTCCAGTCGAAGTCGTGGCCATGTCCTAGTTCTCCAGCTGGGTCACCTGCTCTTGCCCATTTCCTTCGATTTCCAGGCCAGTTATCACGGCATTACTTCAGTCCTTTTGCATATAATATCGAATTCTATGACAAAATCAACTGTCAAAAATATGAAAACATATATGTATATTTAAAACTTTAAAGAACTTGTTCATAGTACATCCTGCAATTATAAGAGTATTGTTGAAATGGAACGTCGACGTGGAAAGCTAGAAAGGTACAAAAATGAGATTGCAAATCAAGCGATATACTTATAAAACAAAAAACATATAAATATTTTTGTTGTATTTTATATTACTAAGTTGAAAGTGTTACTCCTGACTCTCTGTCTCACTTTTAATGAATATAAACTCTTAACAAATTGCACTAAGTTAGTTTGAGAAATTAAATTCAGATTGTGGGCTTCCCGCAAAGATTTCCCTCGAGTAAATCACCCAGAAGACGTGGAGAATGTGTGTGTGACACCTGTCGCGACTTTAGGCCAATCCCAGCTTCTCCAATGCTTTTCATCTTTCCCATTCATGAGATGCGTCTGTTGGATTTTTGAATGTTTTTCATCTTTCCGCCGATGCGTACAAGTGAAAGTTGTGTTGTTGTCTTATTAACATTATTGTCGTTGTTTATTGTTGTATTTGGTGGTATTTTGTTGTTTTTCCTGCGTTCGATGCGGCGAAATGTCAATGAAGCGGCCCAAAACAACGTGTAAAAGCTGACCCAAAACGGGTTTAGATGCCTTCACTTCACATTTTACTTTGGTTGGTCGGGCGCATTCCAAGATCTCCAGAGTGGTTCGGTGGTTTGGTGGTTCGGTGGTTCGGTTGTTCGACCAAAAGTGCTGTAATCTCAGCCAGAGCTATTGATTTCTATGTATATCCGTGTGAGTTGGCATTTGGGACTGATTTCTAAAGTTCGTTGGTATTTGAGCTCTTTTTTTTTGTTTTTTGGGATGCGACCTGTAGCTCGCGTGTGTTGGTCATTAAACTTGGTACCACAAATTCCCCCACTAAATGTCAGTGTGAAACGGTTTTAGAATTTAAGGTTTTTTTGCTCTTAAGTGACAAGATCTTGGATGCGAGCATATGCGAGCATAGACCCAGTTAACTTCCGAGTTGGCTTGATTTTCGCCCGGACTCTGGTCTAGTTTATTTCATAATTTTCCCTCTAGAAATGTGAAATGTATTTTTAACAAATTTCGTTCTCTGGGCGGAATTCACATAGCTTTATTATTTCGCATGGCGTGTGCTCAATTTTCGAAATTTCTGCTTGTGATTTTTCACATCGAGCTTCTCGGCGGCAGAGAAAACTTGTCATCCGCACACACACACAGAGTATCTTGCAGATGCCTAGATACATTTTTATTTGAGGTGCG